TCTGGCTATCCCAGATTTTCCTTACTGTAAGGCTGCTGCTGGGCCATGTCCACTTCGCTAGGTGAGGCCTGGGCTCTGCAATTCACCACACTCCCCACCACTCCCTACTGTGTCACACCTGGCACACTCATTTTCGTTACCAGATTGCCCTGCAGGTGTTTGTGGGGGGAACAGGTGGGCCAGGCAGGTCCAAGTCCAGGCCAAGCCACAAACCCCCGTCAGCCTGGACTCTGTGTGGGTGTCAGGACATGGCCCCAGGTGGTTTTGCTATTAGCCAGAAAGCATTCCTTGGAAAGCACCACTTTATCCATTGGAAAATTAATCAAAATGACACCTTGCGAGCAAGATGTTTTGGTTTGGCAGAAAACAAAGTGGTTCACAACAAATCAGAGAGGCTGCTCTGCGCCCCTGGGCCGACAAGACCAAGCAAGGGCCAGGCATGGTTAGCAGTACACCCATGGCAGCCAAAGGGCCATGACCAGGCCTGGTCCCCCGGGCCCTTCTAAGGACTGCGGCTGGTGTGACTAACTCCATCTCACATTTTCACTTCTGTAAACAACCTCCAGATGCCACGGGCCCTCTGTGCAGGCGCTGGGCTGACAGCCACCTTGTCAGGCAGGGTCTCAGGGACTCAGACACTTAGCAGGAGACCTGGGCCCCTCACCTGGAGCCTCTTTTCTCTCTGCCAATTGGATGAGGGTCCTGCGGCCTCACCATGCGAGGACTGCAGTGAGCTCAGATGCCCAGGATCTGTTTCCAGGCTGAGGGAACGCATTCCTGATGACTGAGCTCTGAAACCCGGGGGCCCCTGAGTGCCCTGCTCAGCTCTTGTGTTCAAGTCTCAACAAGACATCGCCACCCCTGGATGTCAGCCTTAGCTCAAGGCCTGTTAATTTTTTCAGGCAAAGCAAATTTGACCAAGTCACCCCCCTCCTGTGTACCCTTCCATGGCTCCCCATTGCCCTTATGGTACTCTTAAGTTCCTCTGTGTGGCCTGAGGCCCTGACCTCCACTCTCCTCGTGCTCACTGGGCCAACCCGCCCTAGCCTTCCTGCCTTCCTGCCTTCCTGCCTTCCTGCCTTCCTGCCTTCCTGCCTTCCTGCCTTCCTGCTTTCCTGAAGCGCATGCTGGGTCCCACCCCACAGCCTTTGCACCTGTGGTTCCCTCTGCTGGGAGCACCCTTTCTTCTGACCTCAGATGGACTCTTATTCCTCATCCAGGTCTCAGCTGACATGGCCCTTCCTCCAAGGCCATCCCTGACCCCTCAGAGCAAGCCAGGGCCCCATTCAGAAACGACTATCTACTGAATTTGCTTAGGATTTGGTGACTGTCTGTACTCACCCACTAGACACAGCTTCCCGAGGTCAGAGATCACACCTCTTCCCCCAGGCAGTCTGGGATACAGCTGAGAATGCGGGTTCATAAGCTCATGCCCAGCTGTGTGACCTGGGTAACCTCTCTGTGCCTCAGTTTGCTCACCTGTAAAATGGGAAGATAAACAGCTCCTCCCCTGTGGGTGTTGCAGTGAGAACAGGGCCTGGCTCTGCAGGCTGGCTCTGTGTCACCACCGCACCTGCTCGCTGCGCAGCAATGCAGCAGTCTGTCCTGCACCAGGACGTTACTTACGAACAGGGCTGGCTTTTCAGATCCACCAATGCTCAGAACCCTCACTTGAAGACTTCCGAGTCTTCTCTTCCTTTTTATTCCTGCTGCTCTTGCTGAGGCCCCATAACTTTGCATCAAATCCAAGCCAGTTTTCCAGCGGGCATAGGATTGTGCCCATGTCAGCTCACAGACAGTTAAGCTATCTGAGGCTTACAGTGGCTCTACCATCTGCCCACAGTCACACAGCTAAAAAATGCCACAGTGAAAGAGGAGCGATTCTTAGTTAAATCTTGGAATGTTATAAGGATCAAAGTTCCATATTTTCTTGCTTCACTACAGAAAGGAAAAGTTTTTTATTATACTTTTAGTTAGAAAAGCAAGGATCAATTTTCTCCCCACCCCCCCAAAAGGCCCCCATCCGGCTTCAGAATAAAAGCTGAGAGCCCTCCTTCTTGGGCCCTGTGAAGGGCACCCCTCCTCTCCCCTGACTCTGGGAAGGCCATGGGGGCAGCGATGGGTGGCTCACCCCACAGGGACAGGACCCCTCGCCAACATTCCCATGACCCCAGGCGAGGCCCAAGAGCCCCCGTCCCACCCCAGCCTCCACTCCACAGACCCTCAGAGGGTGGACGGGGTCAGGAGGTGGAGCCTGGGGCTGTGAGGAGCAGCCTCTCACTGCTGCAGGGGAAGGGGCCAGTGTGGACTCTCTGAGGGTGACAGTGGTCGAGGAAGGGCAGTGTCCACCTTGCGCTGAGAGGAGGGCGCTGAGAGGAGCTGACTTGGGACATGAAATCCTGGCTTGTGGGAAATCCAGATGGAAGAAACGGAGAATCATCCGGGCATTCTGCAAGGACCCCGCCCCCAGGCAGCAGTTCGGTGGTCGGGACGAGACACACAAAGACCTGGCAGAGCCAAGCAGGGCAGAGCACCAGCCTGGGTCCAGGCCTCACAGGTTTGAATCCCAGCCCCACCACTTTGGGTAGGCAAGCAATTCAACCCTTCAGTGCCTTAGCTTCCCCATCTGTAAAATAGGGACAATGACCAGACCTACCTCATAGGGTGGGATGTGAGGTCCCTGCAGAGTCAGGTCCCCAACACAAGCCATGATGACCATTATCCAAGAAGGGCCCCTCAGCTTGCACCCTGGGGGCAGGTGCAGCCCTAGACACCCTTGGGACTGAGCTCGGGTGCGTGTGTGTACACTGCTCACCTGCACTGCCTGCCCCAGACAAAGGCCTCCTGGGGCCAAGATCAACATGCTGGGGGTGAGGAATGACTCACCACCCCTGGGCTGCGACAAATTTCCTGGAACAAGTCACCACAGGTAGGCCTGGGGGCCCCGAGTCTGGCAGAGATGAGAAGGTGCAGGTCCCAGCACGCTCAGCCACACCCTGGTGGGATCCTGCCGAAGGAGTGGGCAGGGAAACCCCAGTTTTGGAGCTTCACAGGCCTGAGTTCCAACCCCAGCCCTGACCTCAGACACGTGTCTCTCCCTCTCCAGGTCTTAGTCTCTGCCTCTAAATGGGGACACTAGTGCCAACCATATGGGGACAATTGTATGGATTTATAGACAAAAGCTGTAAAGTGCAGAAACCAAAGGTCGGCAGGCCACAGGCAGCCAAGGTCCTCTGATCTTCCTCCCCCAATGTGCGTCTATGTGATTGGGGTGCTCCTGGTCACCCAGGAAGAGTTACCATAACTTCAGGGAGAGGAAGACAAAGGAAGCAGCTTATGATTTCATTGTCATTGGAAGGCAAATTGGACTTTACTGGAGTATGAGCAATCCCAGAAGGCTTCTCAGAAGAGGTGACATTAACTTGGGTTGTGAAAGATTAATAGAAGTTTCTAGACCATGACATCTGTGAGGCTACTGCCTAGCTGTTACCGGCCTTGGCAAAGTCATTCACCTGGAGGCAGGCAGGTGTAAGGCAAAATGGAGCAGTGGGATCCTGGCAGGGACTAAAGAGTGGATGCCTAGTCAGGCATCCCAAGATATGCTGCTTAAGTAACATTGCCTGGCCAAATAAAATGAATTCACATGGGCCAAATTCTGTCCATGGGCTGCAAGACTGCAACCCCTAAAACTTTCCAAACTTCTGTTTCCCCGTCTATGAAATGGGGATAATGCCAATACCCAGAGGGCGTGATGATCGGGAAAGGTAAACGGGTCAGCATACATGAAATGCCTAAGGCAGTGCCTGGCACACCGTAAACACTCGGTATATGCCCCTTGGGGGTAACACAACGTGGAGATGTGGGGGCAGGCAGGAGGCACAGGGGAACAGAGGAGCAGAGGGGGGCCCATAGGCAGACCTTAAAGAACAGTGAGAGATCCCACCGGGGGCAGGACAGGGCGGCCAGCTGGGTAGACACCTTTCCTGTGAAGGTCAAGGCCCCAATCAACCAGGGCTCCAATCCAGACTTGTCACACCAGGCTCTGTGGCCTCAGGCAAGTCCCTTCACTTCCCTGGGCCTCAGTCTCTTCTATAAAATGGGGGTAATGATAAAAGTACCTTCTTCCAAAGACTGGTGTGAGAATTAGATGCCATATAGAACAGCAAAAGCACTTGAAACAGACCTAGCATAAGTCATTGTTTAATGAGCAAGTCCAACCCAGGGCAGGGTTTCCCACTCAGCATTACTGACAGAGCCAGATCATTCTCTGTTGGGGGCTTTGTAGGGTGTTTAATAGCATCCCTGGTTTCTAACATTAGATGCCAGTAGCAGCCCTCACTGCCAGCTGACAACCCAAATGTCTCTGGACATTGCCCAGTGTCCCCTGGACTAGGGAACACTGACAAGTTGGAAAGACAGAGATATCTTAAACCCAGAAGGTCTCAATGGCAGGATGAGTCTCACCTCAGTTTTTCCATCAGTAAATCCTTCCTTCCTTATGGGGTCACAGGGAGGATCCCAGGAAAGCAGAGAAGGCGGAAGGAGAGGCCTTTACAAGTTGCAAAGGCCACACACAGGCTGGACACCCCTCCACGGTCCCCAGCCCCTCTGGTCTGCTGGAGGCCAGCTGTGCCTTGGGAAGGAGGACCCCACCTGAATTCTGGGTGCTGCTCTGAGCATGTCCTTAGGTTTGTAAGGACAGGACAGGAGGCAGGGTCCGTTTCTGCTCACTATGGTACGCCCAGGTGAACAACTGTTCAGCAAACAGCAGGCGCTCAATAAATGGTGGATGAATAAGCAGTGGTCACAGCAATGAAGCTCAAAGCTCAGAGGGGCCTGAGTTAGGGGCTGAGACACAGGACCACCTGGGCCAGCCCTCTCCCGGGCCAGCCAGACACTGTTTCCTGTCTACAGAAATGAGACATGCCCCTTGACCTCCCATTTCCTGAGCCCCTCTCCCACTCCAGGGCCTGGGAGGAGGGAGGTGGGGAGATACTCACGTTCCTGAAGGAGGGGAGCCCCCTGGAGCCCAGCCACCTCCACCTCCGCAGGGCCTGGGAGAAGGCCCCATGGTCCCGCTCGGCCCGGAGCACGTGGTCTTCCAGGAAGGAGACGTGATGTCCCACCATCTTGACGAAGGCCTGATGGAGAATGGGGAGAGGGGGATGCCACATCTGGCCTGGATTGGAGCACATTCCTAGCTGCACTCCCCTGGCCAGCGGGGAGGACTGACCCACAGTCACTGCCACCAGCGGCTCCCGGAGAGGTCAGGCCTACTTAGCTGGGAGGTCACCTTCAGGAACCCTGGCAATAACAGCAACACCTCCCACTGCTAACCAGCCTTGGCCAAGCCCCTACTTGTGCCCTCCCATATTCTCCCCAAAGGGACCCTATTTTTAGCCTCTGTTTTACAGAGGAGGCAAACCAAGGCTCAGAGTCACCTGCCCAAAGTCACAGAGCTCTCTCCAGGCCTCCCTCTCCAAAGGGCCTTTGCACGAGCTCTCTCCAGGCCTCTCTCTCCACAGGGCCTTTGCACGAGCTCTCTGCAGGCCGCAGTGCCCTTCTCTCCATTCTTGATGGATGGATGCTGTTCATCTTTCTAGCCCTTGATCGACTGTCCCTCCACAGAGAGGTCTTCCCTGACCAGCTGATCTAACACAGCCCCCGAGTCACTGTGGAGCCAAGTGTCTTCTGAGCCCGCCTCTCCCTCTGAACTTCTTGTCCACTCACAGACCACCTTCCCCTAGAATGTGAATTCTGAAAGAGCAGGTGCTGAGTCAGTGCTGTCCGCAGGCCAAGACCGGAGAATGGTCAGCTAGAGGGGCTCAGCTGGACGGTGAGGGCATGAGTGATGCACACATGAATGAAAGAATGCATGCGTGCATGAGTGAATGAATCAGGGCATCCTCAGCAAAAAGACACTGGATGAGCCCAAGATGGTGGTGCTGCCGCCCTGGGGTTCTGGCAGGGGCAGAGAGCTGAAAGACTGAACAAGCCACATTAGGGGTGTGCGTGAGCGCGCGCACGTGTGCACGTGCGTGCAGTGAGGGGGACAAGGGGCCACGGGCAGGAAGCTTCCCCTGACCAGGGCTCCAGCCAGCACATCTGGTTGTGAAACAGAACAAAGTCCTGCAGTCCCTTCCTCCAGCCGATTCCAATTTTATGCTCCCTGCACTAATACCAGCCTGGCTGGGAGCGAGGCCACGCAGAGGAATGCGCGCTCCCGAGGCCGACCCGCCTCCCACACGCCTGCCAGCGAGGGGAGGGCAGCCCGCGGCCAGGAAGAGGCCACACCGGCCACCGCGGCCTGCGGCCAACTGGGCAGACGCGCGTGCATCCGCACAGACGGGCTGGGGTTATGGAGTATAGGGGACTTTTATATATTTTTCTGTACAATGAAAATGTATTACTTTTATTATCAGGAGGGAGGGAGGGAGGGAAAAAGGGAGGGAGGAGAAACCCTATGGTTTGAAAATATATTTGTGAGTTCTAATGCATTTGAACACTTCTGGCAAAGCTCCAGCTACAGAGCAGGTCCCTACCTACCCAGAGAGTGCCAACAGTCAGCACTGAGGAACAATCAGGAGCACAGACTCTTGCAATGCCAGCTCCACCATTTCCTAGCTGTGTGACCTTGGGCAAATCATGTCACTTCTCTACGCCTCAGCCATTTTCTTTATAAAATGGGACTAACAACAGGACCTTCCTCCTGGGGCTGTTGTGAGGGTACAGCAAGTTCTTACGAGTAAAGCACTAAGAGTCCCTCGCTCACAGCCGGTGATCAGTAAACGTTAGTTTTTATTATTAAAATTGAGAAACAGCCAAGTTCTGGCCTGAGAGGTCACCTCATGGTTCCCAAGCTCTGCCCACCCAGTGGGTTGCTCTGATCTGAGAGCAAGCAGGGTGGTCTTGGGCTCCCTGGAGGAGTGACAAGCATCCATCCCCTCTCTCAGCCTGTGGGCAACCACCACGACAGCTTGTCCTCAGTGAGCCCCTGAATGTGCCAGGTGCTGGCCTGATAATGACTCTGTGAGGGACAAATGGCATATCCCCAATTCACAGAGGAAGAAAGTGACCCTAAGAGGAGGTGTTACCCAAGGGGCAGATCTGTGGCCCAGACGGTCAGGCTATGGAATCCATCTGCCCCATACAATGTCAGGTTCTTATAGAGTTCTAAGTTTTATTGTTCTGCTGTTACATGCCACATGGTGGGAAATACGTCTTCTCCCACTGGCCTTGAAATCCATGACCCTCTTGGACTAGGTTAGTTTTCCCTCCTTTTGATAGAGACCCAGCAACAGGCCAAGAAAGGCCTCAATGGTGGAGAGACTCTAGGGCAGAGTGGGGACTGTGGCAGCCTTGAGAATCATACTCCACTGAAGGGGACAGTTGCTTCTCCACGCTGGCTGTTGGAAGTAACGGGAGGGGGCCTTGAGGTTGGTCTGCTCAGCACAGTCCTGGATCCCACTGGCATCTAAGTTTGCAATCTCTATCTAAAACTTACAGTAAATGCTGGTGGGAGTGCAAAATGTTGTAGTCACTTTGAAAAAAAGTTTGGCAGTTCCTAAAATGAGTATGACTTAGCAACTCCACTCCTAGGTATTTACCCAGGAGAAATGAAAACATACTCACATAAAAATTTAGACAGCATTATTCATAACTGCCCAAAGGTGGAACCAACCCAAGCGTCCATCAACTGATGAAGGATAAACAAACTGTGGTATATCCATACAATGGAATATTATTCAGCCATAAAAAGGGATGAAGTTCTGACACATGCTACGACATGAATTAACCTTGAAAACATTATGATATGTGAAAGCAGCCAATCGCTATAGGCCACATACTATATGATTCCATCGCTTTGAAATGTCCAGAAGAGGCCAATCCACAGATTCAGGAAGTAGGTTATTGGTTGCCTGGGGCTGGGGTTGGGGAATGATTGTTAATGGATATGGAGTTTCCTTAAGGGGTAACAAGAATGTTCTGGAATTAGGTAGTGGTGATAATTACACAGCCTTGTAAATATACTAATAACCTCTGAATGGAACACTTCAAAAAGAATTATTTTGGACTTTCTCAGAGAGAGAAAAAAGTACAGTAACTATAATCCCTTTGATGAGTCCTGTTATCCTCAAAACAGGGTCCAAACTCAATGGCATGGCCCTGCATGGTCCAGCCTTACCCTTGATCTTGAGCCCTAGACCTACCCACAACTGCCTAAGAGGAAGCCTTTCTCTTTCTAACCTCTGGGCATTGGCATAAGCTGGTCCCCTCCCAGGCTCACTCCTCCATCTTTCAGGCCTTAGCGTGAACTATAAATTATAGCCCTGGGAAGCTGTCTCTGTTTTAGGCCTGGGCAGGCACCCCCTCTTCAGTGTTTTGGGGTTTTTAAAATTTTATTTTGAAAATATTACAGATGTCCCTTTTTCTCCCAAATGACCCACTCCACCCCGTCCCACCCCCCTCCCCACCATTGTCCGTGTCCTTGGGTTGTGCGTATATGCATATAAATTCTTTGGTTACTCTCTCCCCCTCCACCCACCTGCCCTCCTCCC